GCTGAACATGCTCAATGCGCGCATCATGTTCAGCTGCATTCAGAAGCTGATCAGCTATCAGCACGAGGAGTACGTGGAGGTACTGTGTGCCCTCATCACCAACATCGGCGGCAAGCTCTCCAGTGCATTCAAGAACAAGCCCGGCAAGCAGAAGACCTTTGACGACATCTTCGCCAAGCTGACGGCCATTCAGCGGCAGGAGGAGGGCGCGCTGAAGGTCAACTTGCACATTCGCTTCACCATCCTCGACCTGCTCGACTTGCGGAAGAACAACTGGATCAGCCGGCGAGAGGTGCAGGGCCCGAAGACCATTGCTTAAGTGCACGAGGACATGGACCAGGAGGAGCGGAGGAAGAACATGCAGGCGGCGGAGTTTAAAAGAAACGCGCCGCCACCGAGCAGAAAGAGCGCCACAATGCGTTTTTAAAAAAGCTGGGCCTTTTGGGCAAGAAGCCGTGAAAGCGCGATAAACAGCGCTAGTGTTTTGGTAAGTGTGGTGAATGAGGCAGTTCACCATTACTAACTGCCCCTTCTATTTGGCAATCTATTTGACCAGGTTTCTTTTCTCACCGTTTTTCCTCTGAGTGCCTTTATGGCCGTTTTAAAAAAATAAAATATTTACCACTTTAGTCAGTCAGTCAGCGAGAAAGCTAAAAGGTCACACTGATTAGCGAAGCGACTGAGCAAATTCATTCATTTGAACTCTTCGTGTGTGTGTGCGATAAAGGATTGCGACATTTCCAGTGCTGTCATTCACTTTTTGCCTTCTGCAATACTACACCCGTTGATGACGATGGTGGTCCTCTTCCCTGAATGCTCCCCAAAGTGCTCATCCAGTGGTGTCCGATGTCAACCTCAATTGCCAACAGTGGGCCTTAGAGCAGAGACAAAAGCCGTGCACTGATTCAACAGTTGCAGTGTTGCACTTGTTCACTCTCCGAAGAATAGTGCAGACTACTAGTGACAGTGGCAGTAGTGCACTGAGCTGCCCATTTGAGACTGCTGCTGTGCTGTTGGGCACACAGCACCAGCAGAAACACTCACTGGACAGCAGCAACAGCAGCAGCAAAGTGAGGGGCCTTGAAGGGCACCGAACCGCAATCAGCAGAGTGCACACTGCACATGCGGTCGCTAATGAGCAACAGACGGTCTGGGAAGACTGAAGAAGGAGAAGAAGAAGAAGAAGAAGAAGAAGGAGAAGAGGACAGCAACAAACCGTCTGTGAAGAAGACACATCAACGCCAGTGCTGGTCTATAGTCCACCCAGGCTTGCTCTCTCTCTTAACAGCACCAGCACCAGCTCTGCTCTGCCGCCGCCGCCGATGGTGAGCTATTTTGGTGATCGAGAGGAAGGGGCGACGGAGAAGACTGAAAAACTGACTGACTGACTGCTCGAATCGATCAAGCGAAGATTAGCACTGACACTCACTACTCTTCTTCTTCTTCTCAGCGGCCAGCGTTTTTGCATTTCGGTTTCGCGTTACGCTGCCTTCTTCTTCGGCTCAGTCACTGCTGTTGATTCCAGTGCCACTCCTCCTTCTTCAACGGCAGCAGTGCTATCTTCTCTGCTCTTCTCAGAGCTCTGTGCTGTCGATTAGTTTTGCCGTCTTCTTCGGTTGCCGCTGCCGCCGCCGCCGCCATCACCGCCGACCACATTTGCTGGTGCAGGGGTTCAAGCAGATTGTGCAGTCTTGAGTAAATACAAAGCTGGCCAGGCAAAACAGTGAACTGGAAGAGCCAAGAAGTAGCGGGATGAGACAAACACACCACACCACACGCACACAGATTGACTCGAGATTGACTTGCTGCCGCTCAAGTTGCAGCTAAAAAGCTTGACCTTCCGCCACCACCACTGCCACCAATAATTTTTCATTACTTTTGGCGGCACTACTGGCCACCACTACTTGTGCAGCCAGGGCGCCCAGCCACCAGGCACTACCTCCTCTTCATCATCATCATCTCATTTCATCGTTTCAACCCCATCAAACATCATCTGAGGTGCATTGCCGCCTTCTTAGCCGCCGCCGCTGCCTGTCATCCTTTTTACTCTTTTCATCCAATGTCTCCAATTGAGC